ACACACACACACACACACACACACACACACACACACACACACACACACACACACACACACACACACCTATCTGGCATTCAGAGGAGAATACAGAAAAGGCCGCATCGGAAACCGAGGAAGGTCATTAACGCCACAATAGGAAACGCCGGTTAAAACAGTACACAGCATGCCGAACTCCATTGGGATGGGTAGCAGAGGTTTCGCAGTTTACCGGATCGGTTCTTTCTATAAGCTGAACGATAGCCGGCATTCGCCGGAGTTCCGGTTTTCTGCCCACCAGACGCATAAACGCGTTCTTCATGTCAAAATTTCGGGAAGCCATGGCGGCAGCCATCGGCGCTAATCTTGAGCTTGCCATGAACAGCCTGTTCTTCGCGCTTACTCGCCTCCCTCAAGGCCCAGCTTCCGTGAAAGCCCTATTCCAACCCTCTCCAAGCACAATCGTTATCGCCTACCTTCCTCCCTCCTTCCGTCTTCTGCACTCAATTAGTTTCCGTCGGACGGAACGTAAGGTCCAATCGCAGTTCCACTCCCTCGATTGCGGCCGTACTCAGCCTCGCCGCCCTTTGTCGTGTCCTGTGCTTTGGTTAGGCTCTCCATCACATGGCGTGGAAATTAGAGGGATCGCCCATTCCGCTGCTGTGCACCGCCGGTTCGATCTCCACAGCGATCTGATTTTGTTAAGTCGGCGAGAAGCCGAAGAGCCGGGCGATTTCAAACGCTCCTCCGCGGCGGTAACAACTAGCAGTCGGCGGTGGTGTCACCTTGCATACAAAACGCAAGCAAGAGACCGCCTCGAATCGCGCGCGCGCGTGCGCCGCGCGGCCGCACTATGTTCCCTATCAGCACGCGCCATCAGCCGTCATTCGGAGCACAAGGTCTAGTGGCCGGACTACTATCGTAGACCCGAGTTCGAACTCCACCGGGGGCAAGGTCCCACTTGCACGGATTAAGAGATTCTGGCCGTTGATCTTTTCTATCTACGATCGTGTAAGTGGGACCTAGCCCCGGAAGGAAATGAGTGAATTCTGAATTACCTAGGACCCGTCAGTTCTATGGTCACATCTCAAGGCCGTCGCCAAGGAGGGATAAAACCTTACTTGGCCCAGTACTCCAAAGTTATGCCCACAAATCTTACGTCCCTGCAATGGCAGATCCTGCAACGCTGTCTCCCCACCCCCGACTGGCTTGTTTCCAGAACTGACCTGGAGCAGAAAGGTCTGCTGTCTCTCATCTGCTCCTATTGTGGCAGGGCAACGCTGGAACACTGCCTACTGCGCATGCCCAATGGTTACCCAGATATGGCAATGGTGGGACGTGGCCTTCCACTCGCTCACAGGGTTCCACATCCCATGGAACCTTGGCCTCCTATTGCTAGGCAAGAATCAGCATATGTTGGTGCAGTGGTCCCCATTCGCAACCAACCTCTTCTCCTCCATGAGGTTGCAAGTCCTCATGTCAGCCTGGAGAGCTAGATGCTCCTTCTTTTTTTTCTTTTTTTTCTTTTTTTAAAAAGTCCAGGCTGTTGTAGAGGCCAGTAACTAGGCACACATTGATCGCCTGAAGCGGTCAGCCATGGTTGTCTTGAAGGAACGAGGCTACCTCCCGTTGCATCCTTACGTCAATACTCCTAGCGTACCCCATATCTCTACTGTCCTACCTCAGTGTGACCAGCATTCAGGACCATTACCCCTACTTAGTATCGAGGGGAACTTGGATCGAACAGTAGCGACAGGCACCAGGGCTTAGCCATGACCCATCCCCGGTGGAAGCAGAATCGAGCGAACCTCGTTGCACGGTGTTGAGCGCATCGGCCCCCGCTTTTTCGTAAAGGCGAGAGCCCTCCCGGCCATGTCACGCAGGAGTTAAACATAAACAAAACATAGAGAGACAATTTGGGGATGATGCAAAATTTATCCCACGAGCAGCCGAGACGGCCGCAGTTGCGTCGCCCCTTCGCCGCTCTAGCCGAGTGCGTCAGCTGTACATCCCGCGGTCCCCTATAGCAGGATAGGTTCTCGCGAGGCATAAGCTTTCTTCCCTAAGGGGCTGTCATTACCTTTAAGGGCGTATCCCCACCGAGCTACTGACCCACGTGCGAAAGTTTTCACATGCAATCGCAGAGGGGGGTCAGCTGAGGGCGTTTGCTCGCTCGCTGTAGTATAGGTACACGCGATAAAAACGCATATTGAACCCGGACGTCGTTTGTCGCTTAGCGCGCTAATCTCCTAAGGATGAAGCGTGCGCCGGTCGACTAGGGCGGTATCAATCAAGCGTGAAACCCACAACTCAACCCTACCCCCATACATACAATACTCACATAACCATGCATATATATATAACTTATCAAGGCGAAATCTCACATACCCTTAATAAAGCAATACATATATATAAAAAGTCATCCCTTCAGTCAATCATCTCAGCAATTATTGTTGTGAAATCATAGCACAATGTTTAATATAATTGACTCGTTCTGATAAAAAAATCATGCTAACGTAATTCCTCCTTTTCGTTAATGTAATCTAAAAAATATAGGAAAACTTTCTTGTTGAAAACGTATAGAGTAAATACCTTTAATCCTTTGGATTGACGTCTATATTCATATTTTTTTATGCCTGATTTCAGGGTCGTATTTCATGTTACCTTGTAAAACATAATTTAAAATTTTTCCTACTTGTTTTCCTGCAGAAACGTCTAAAGGTAACTTCTGACCGATGAAACGTATTTGTTTACTTTTCTTTTCTTATGTATTTACCCCTCAATAACAAAGCATGATAGTGAAATCGTCGGGGTAATCTGAATACTATTCATCCGGCGGTCCTATCTACATAAAGTGTTTTTGTTTTTTATATTACCTCGTGAAGCCAAAAGTCATATGGCTTCCTCAACTCGATTAGTCTACAACAGAAAAAATTCTCAGAATTAAATAATCATTCTATAGTAAAATTACATTCTAAATTTTAAATTTTCATTCCATCTTAAAAAATGTCATTCCAATTTTAAAATTTTCCGTCTTACTTTAAAACTTTCCTTCCAAGAATGGGGTATCCCGTCGTATTTGAACTGCATGTTAGAGATGGAATGAAAGTCTGTATGAATTCATGAAATATTTTAATTAGACTGTCATTCTAAGTAACGATTTTCAATCATAAATAGGTTAATTCAATCTAAATTAGAAGATATTTCTTGTAGTAGAATGAAAGTTTAATTAAAAATTTTCATAAACTCGTCCAGACTTTCATTCTATCTTGAACGAATAGATGTTGTTGGAAGAGAAAACTCATATTTAGACGAAATTTATCAAATAAAACTGAAAATTTTATAATTGAAGGAACATTGGACTGATAATTTTTAAATACGAAGGATTTTTTTTTTATGGAATATTTTTTCAACTTTCATTTATCGTGGGAATTTTTCTTTTGTATGTGAGGTCTTTTCCCGGAATCCGAGTAAGATTTACAGAAAAACAATGTCTAATCCTGGTAAATTAATTGTCCTCCGCACACCTGAGTCTCCAACAAGTCAAATCGCGCATGCTCGTCGTCGTCGAATATCAGGGTAGTCATCTGTTCACCTCACATAACTCTAACTATTCGAGTTTCATAGAGAGAGGTCATCCGTGAGGCTAGTCTCCACACTATGACTCGAAGAGGCCGATTAAGTCCAAATAAGTGTTGGGTCTCTGTATCCCGGATCCGGATGACACTGAAACGTCTACCGGATGAGGTAATCTTAATACAAAAAATGACTCGGGAGAGACATTGGAGGTTGCTTGCGCGATAGAAATACAAAGTATAACCAAAGAGTTCGAGTCGTATTGGCCCGAAAATCCGCGCGAGTGATGGGGAAAAATCCCTCGCCGTTTCGGAGTAACCCGATGAAGCCTACCCATTGGGTAGGAGTGTCATCTCAAACCTGCAAAAGTTGCTCCGCTCCTTTGATATGATCATCCTCCTGTGTGTCGCGAACAAGAAGGTATCTTGCCAAGGTAAGATCTCTTCGTCCGCCGTCCATCTGCTCACAAGAGAACCAAATTAAGAGTTGATCAGTGAAAACAATCGGCGCTTCTCGCGTTCGGACTCTGCCACAGATAATACAATCCACCTGAAGAGCCGAAATTTGTCATATGAAGTCCGACGATAATGATGAACATAATCGAAGGGTGCATGTAGCTCGTTAAGATGTAGCAAAATAATTAAGAAGAACCATTTTATCTCGAGAATATTCTCGATGTATCGTCCCGATCCTTCGTTATGCCGAATCATCACATATGTGTCGTTGAAGTCTCGTCGAGGTGCGAACCTATATCGAATAATGTTTCATCCATAGGCAGTGCTAATTAGATAACATTTTTAAGGTCGTCTCAAATTTTCTCTCCAGAATCATGATCTATCTCTTTCGGGAAGTACGATAAATGAATCATAAACTAGCCGTCTTGACTGTATTAAACCGATCCCGTTGTCTCCGGAGCTTGATATTCATTCACTTGCCTCCTCGCGTGTGTGAAAAAGAGTTACTATCACCGTCTCACCCATCATCTGTAAAATTCGAATAAACTTTCGTCAGAAAGGATTGCAACTCGGCCAAAGTATTTGAAGTTGTTTTTATTATTTTATACAATTGATTTATCTTACTCGCCAAGGAGTCGTCGCATGTAACCTAGCCTGTTCCAATAGGTGACTATATCAAAATTTTCTATTCCTGAATTTTCGAAGCGGTTAGCTCGAATTCGCTCCATGAACTCGATCTTGTCAAACGGACCTATGCGAGTATTGTAATATAGAATGAGTCGTAGATAATCCATCTTATCTCACGATTAAAGTGGACATGTAACTCATTATCCTCGTATCCAAATATTATGCGCAGATTGTCCCTGCTTGGCCGTCGAATCCTAACAAAACTTGGTTCGAGAATCTGTTGATAGATCGAGGTGATAAATAAGAAAGTTCGCGGTGGATTCCTTGTCGTGCCGCGTGTCCCTGTCGAGCACATCGGTCCGGCACCGCACAGGGCAGCGCGGGACCCTCCCGGCCGCGTCACGTAGGAGTTGGTTTAAATCCTCGTCGAGATATATACATGGAGTTTCCGCAAGCCGCTCCGGCTGAGTGCGCCAGCCATACCTCTCGTGAGCCCCTACGACAGGATAAGGCCTACGCGAGGCACGACTTACCTCCACCTTACGGGAGCTGTCACCTCCCTTCGGTGGGCGTATCCCCGTCGAGCTACCAGTCCACAGTACGAAAGTTGATCAGTTGCAATCGCAGAGGTGGATCAGCCGAGGGCGTTTCTCGTTCACTGTAGCATAGGGGGTACACGCGGTATTACGTCTCTATCGGACCCGCACGCGAACCGACATCTTGGGGGACTGAGGTTCCAAGCGTGACTCGTCGCCAGTCGACTAGGACGCATTCCACGCACCATGTGCACACCACTCTAAGAACATAAAAACAAAAACACACACACATACGCACATACATATA